GTAGTACCCTAAAAAAGGAAACTGAAGAGGAATAACAAAATTGAATGACATCCCTTGCTCTTGGATAGGAAAAACCAAGAGTGAAAATAGACATTCTCCCACAATTTTTATACAGATTGAATGCAATCCCAACCAAAATACCATTACCATGTCTCAAGGACCTAGAGAAAACATTCATGAAATCCATTTGGAACCAGAAAAGACCTAGAAGAGCAAAAGAAATTCTGAGCAATGAAAGCGAATCAGGGGGAATCCCAATCCTTGACTTGAAATTATTCTACAAAGCCACTGTGATAAAATCAGGAATGGTATTGGCAAAAACACAGACCTGAGGATCAATAAAACAGAAGATGCAGAAACATTCCCAAACACACTCAGATACCTTATCTTTGACAAACAGGTTCACTGGAACAGAATAGTCTCTTTAGTAAATGGTGCTAGAAAACCTAGCTTTCCATATGCCCAAGAAGAAAAATAGATCCATATATATCACTGTGCACTAAATTAAAGTCAAAATGCATCAGAGATCTAAATATTAATTTAGAAACTACAAAAGTTACATGTTTTGTTATATAGGTCTTGCTTTATCTTGGTCTTAACCATCCAGCAGAAAAGTATAAAAATGAGGTATAAAAAGTAAAGCCATATTAATATGCTGAGCTGTAAAATACTCAAGTCAACAACTTCTGACATTGCCAGTCATGCGGATAACCCACTAGTATTATGGACTACTGAACTATGTTGGATTACTTTGCTAAATTCATACACCTACAATATTTAAATGGCAATGGACTACCCATCTCTGACAAAAGTAAACAAAAAAGGGGGGTATAAATGAAGGCCCATTTTGTAGTGAAAAAACCTTATATATATACAAAATAGTTAGCATTGATATACAGCTAGTTTCTCTTAAATGAGAAGTTTTGAACTAATAGTGTTTAGACAAGATATCATGTCTGCATCTTGTACGATGAATAACTACTACAAAGACAACAATATGCAATGTATTAATTATTGTAACTGTCCTAGTAACCCATTTTGAAACTGTCTCATTGTTACTTCTTTCTCAATAAAATTAATAAAAAAGTAGAAACTAAATTTACTGGAAAAGAAACTAGTTAGAAATCTCAAAGACATATATATATAGGCAGAGACATTATGAACAAAACCAAGACCTCAAGGGAAAATTACAAAGAATCAACAACTGAGATTTCATCATATTAAAAAGACTTCACACCAAAGAAATCACCAATATAGTGAAAAGACAATCCACAGAGTGAGAAATAATTATAGCCAGTTGTTCCACAGACAAATGACTTATATGTAGAATAGAGAACTGAAAAAAATCAGACCCTTGAAATTCAAAGACCCAATCCAAAAATGGGCATCTGAGATGAATACGCACATCTCAGAAGAAGAGATATAAATGGAAAATAAATATATGAAAAAATGTTCACCATCATTGGTCATTCAAGAGATGCAAATTAAAACAATGCTGAGATTCCATTTTATCCCTGAAAGAATGGCTATCATCTAGAGATCAACTAATATCAAATGCTGGAGGGGATGTGAGAAAAAAGAATCCTTCTTCACTATTTTTGGGAGTCTAGACTGGTGCGACCACTATGGAAATCAGTGTGGAAATTCCTTAAAAACTAGGTTTAGAGGTCCCATTTGAATCAGCTTTTCCCCTTCTGGGTACCTTCCCAGGAGAAATGAAAACATACCACAGTGATATATGTGCACCATGTTCATGGTGGCACAATTTGTTGTAGCTAAATCTTGGAAACAACCCAGATGCCCATCAACTGAGGAATGGATTTTTTAACAGATGTGATTTTTAATATAATGGAGTACTACTCAGCCACAAAGAAGGATGAAGTGTAGACTTACAGATAAATGAATGTACCTTGAGATCACATTCCTAAGTGAAATAAATCAGATTCACATATGTAAACATGGTATTTTCTCACTAATGTGAGAAAATGAGCAAATAACTAATATTCAAAATATACGATTGATATGGTGAATTGGGAAGAAACTGATCAAAAGAAAAGATAAGCTGATGGGGGAAAGAGGTAAGAAAGAAAGTGGAAAAGGAAAAAAAATATGTACACCCAAGGTAGTTAGGATAGTTATACAGCTAGTTTTTCTTCATTCATGAAGAAGAAAATTTTATGTTAATATTGTATAGACAAGCTAACATGTCTTGCACTCTGAATCACTACTAAAAAAACAACAGTACACAATGTATCAACTACTGTAACTATCCCACTAGTTATTTTCAAACTCAGTTTCATTGTTATGCCTATCTTTTTTTTCTTTTTTAAAATAAAATTAAAAATAACACCCAGCCATGAGAGTCTAAGAACATAGAAGAAAAAGAGAGAACATGATAAAAACAATAATAAAAGTCAGAGGAAGAAAGGCCGAAGCCAAAGAATATGAGAAAAAAAATTCCCAAAGCTGAAGAATGTTTTAAATGCCAAATCAAAATATGAGTAATAAGGCACACATGCATGTGCATGTACACACACACACACACACACACACACACACACACACACGTCTAAAATGCTAAGTAAAGCTCAGACACCTGCACTAAACAATCTATCAATTAAATAGAAAGGCAAATGAACTTTTCAGATAAGAAAGCAATCAGAAAAAACGCCATCTCTATACTCTTTAAAAGTATCATTTGGGTACACCCCTATGCATTTAGGGAGGGTAAAGCAGGAGATACAAGAAACGTCAAGAACAAGTGAATCATACATTTGAAGTCCACAGATGCTGGCGTTTTCAATGTAAATGTTCAGAGACTTCTTAAAACAGATATTATAGCAATCTGAAGTAAACTTTGAGCTGCTTCAGTTTAACAAGGGTGATGCAGCAGTGTTGTCAGGAAGAAAGAAAATGTAGTAGCTCAGCTGTGAAGCAGCAAGGGCCTGAAGCCGGTGTGAATCCCAGCTCTGCTGCTGTCTCTGTGCTTGCAAGTGTGACTATGTGTAGGTGAAAGGCTTAGTGCCCAGGGTGGCACCCTTGAGAACTGGTGTCTAGCAGGAGCACTCTAGATCATTGAGGGATGGGCTCTCAGAAGGTAGCTCTCCTGGGGCTATGGAGTAGCTTTCATGAAAGCACTACTAGAAAAGCCTCAGTCAGTCAGTCAGTCTGTCAGTCTGTCTGTCTGTCTGTCTGTCTGTCTGTCTGTCTGTCTGTCTGTCTCTCCCCCCTTTCCCTCTCTCCCTCTTATTAATTACAGGCTTCGGTGAGAGCATCTTCTCAATACCCCCACCACTGCCATGATGTGCTGCCCTATGTAGAGGTCAAAACACTGCTACACCCAATCTTGGACTTTGAACAAAACTGAGTTGAATAAACATTTTCCCTTTATAAAGTTAGCTGCCTCTGGTATTTCATTGGAGTAAGAGGTGCCTTTAATGAAATTACATGCTTCCTGATGCTGCAGTTTTCTCATCTGTAAATAAGGGAATGATAATGGACTCCTCTCTTTCAGAGTGGTGGAAGGATTTATTGAATTAATACAGGAAAGAAATTTAACAGATCACTGGACACAGAGTAAATAACCAATAACTATTAGCTCTTGTCACTGGTTGTAGATGTTATTGGTACCAATTAACTTAGATGAAATTGCCAATAAATTTAATGTGGGATATACATAACAAGGAAGTAAGAAAATGTGAAGAAAATGATTTTGAGAAGCTCAATGAATGGAAGACATAAAACCAGATTGCAGGAGCAAATCCAAACAGTTCACAGTGGATGGAGTGCAGGATAAGTTCACCAATTTAAAACTGAGTGTTTGGGGAATTAAACTTGAAAAAAGAATAGTCCCATAAGGAGACAACATAAGCCAAAATGCCACAGAAAGGCTGAAAAATACAAAATAAAGGTATAGAGGACAAATATTATAAAAATGTGATTGTGGCAATATGAACTTTCTATAAGGGAGAATTCAAAGCGAAAAGAAAACAAAGGTGATTCTAATATTCAAGAGCACAATCTTATAACAATCATGAAAGAAGCAAGAGCATTACCTAAAGCAAACACTACGGGAAAATATATTCTTCATTTGATATATGAAGACAACATTTGGAGGAAAGTAAGACACCAAGCAGTAAAAAGAATAGGTATGGTAGAGCATTTGGCGCATTGGTATTAACTACATGATATGACATATAACTTCAAACTCCCCCAGTAAAACTTCATTTTTTCAAATTCTATATGACATTCAAAAACTGAACATTAATGTCAATGAACAGCAAATAAATCATACAAGAAAAACACAAAAGAAATCAATTAGTTGGAAGTGCTACTAAAGGAGAAAAGTTAGTCTTCAGCATATGGTGTTAGAAAATTAAATGGTAAAACTGGACACCATACATAAAAAATTACCTCAAATTAAGACTAAGACATGAAACTGTAAAATTTCTAGAAGAAAATGTGCCAGAAAACTTTCAGGACATTATTATTGATGATATTTTCTTAGATATGCCACCAAAAACACAAATGACAGCAGCCAAGATAGATAAATAGTAACTAAATCAACTTAAAAAGCCTTCTTAAAAAGTAAAAAAGAAATATCACCAGAAGAGTTATTATAAGATTCAAAATTTCATGGACAAAGACTTATAAAATGGGCTACTTTTTTAATCTATCAGAGAATGTTAAAAGTT